TATATATATATATATATATAACTAAACGAACTTTATGGTTGTACGGCAGTGAAGCATCAGTGCCAACACTGATGTTGCTGTCATTGATGATGATGATGATGACGAATAGTAAATTCGATGATGGATAAGTGGTGCGCCGAACAATGACATATCACAGCCATAGATAGAGCGGACGACTGCTAAAAAGGCTAATGTTGAATAATGACCAACTGTCATTCAGTACAAATAATTTCGTGCAATTCGAATAGTTCCGATTGGGACTGGCCTGGACCCACCTCAACGTGGTGGTAACAGAAGAAAGATCTAAGACACAATGATGCATCCCGTCACTCAACTAACAATTAATCCTTGTCACGACTTACTGTAAGACCATCTGCAGGTTACTGATAAAGTAAACGGACATATTTGTCGACTGGTGTGGAACAACAGAAGCGATATACAATTTTGGAAGAACACTATATATTTGCATTGCAATAGTCTAGGTTAAACAGTCAGAAAGAGATCACATTGGCACAGCACCGAAAACGGGTTAGAAAATATCACAAATAGGAACCAAGTTGTTGGTGAGAACTGTGGTCAATCAGTCCATACACACTTTTACATCCGTGTTCCGGGTGTGAGATGAACTCAACGATGAATCATCCAGAGCCGACTTGCGTCTGCAGTTTGTGGTGTATGTGTGAGTCAAGTGAAGAAGTATGCCGCAAAATGCTCCCAAAAGTGCTCCCATTACACATGGGTATGGCCAAGCCTGCCAGGGACGATCCCAATCAAGGATAAGCAGAGCAGCTGAACTCCATGTGCCAATCACTGCACCGTATCCAAGAAAGGCCAAGAACCATTCGTGAGGCTGCCTGTGGTGGAATCCACATTGAAACGGTACATTAGACTCAGTTTCATAAGGCAACAGTAATGACGAACAAGTGACTCACAATAAAATTGCTGCAATTAGATAACCACGCAGTGAGAGAAAATCTTTGAGGTCAGCTGAACTTGCAGGCAAACGGACGATTCTAGTCACGTTCTGGAGAGGAATTCTTCCCAGAACCAACTAATGTAAGTGCCTGTAGTCAAGAATGGTAATCGTCACGCACTTGTTTTGGGGGCGTGTATGTTAGTTGACCTTCAGCTCTCGATAACAGTCCACCCTTCCCAAATCATGGAGGCCCTATGTGATTCACGGATATGAGCCCCAAGAGTGGGATGAACACTATGGAAAACTGACTCAAGTGGACTGAATCTACCAATTCTCGGTTGCACCTTGCCCAAATAAATGATTGATCCCAATACCTCCTTTCCCTTATCCACTCGGCTCCATTCGACTTCTCATTTCCCCACCATGAACAGGCGTCCCCCGTGTCTTGGATGAACCTCAACTTCAACCCCATGAAGAAAGACCACACATCGAGGAGTCGAATTTCTTCTTATTGGTATCCCTCTTCAAACGGAGAGACCACCGAAACGTCTGCATATCCCGCACACATTCGTCAAGATGGCAGCGTAGTTTGACGCAGACTAGCAATTTTCAATTAAACGCCACTCACGTTGAACAGCTTAATACATCTTGCAACACAAACTAGCTTTTTATAGCTGGTAGTTTGCCTCAGGTCATAACGAAGTTCCTAAATATAGTAGAGGCAGAAAATATGATGGCGAAAAGCACGATACCATCATGATTACAGAGTACCTGACAATAACATTTGCCTTTTTAGTAGCCCACAAGAAGTACAGCGACTGATGAACAAACTGGACTAAATGGTGGTCGTTAGCTTGTTCGCTGAGCTGGGCAATTCGATTCGTTTCGTTTCATCGTCAATCGAAGTGACATCATCATTGCGTTATTGTGGAGCGTAGCAGTGCGTAGCGGTGGGTTGGATTGGACTGGACTGGACTGGACTGAGACAAATGCTACAGAGAGTCAAACGTTACAGACAAGTAGCTTCTCATAGGAGGAACTGCATCGTGATCTAAATCTTCGTGCCCTTTCATCAGTTTTAGGTTCACAACAATGTAGGGGGTGACTTGTGGCGGACTCACTCAAGCACCTTTCACTAGAAATTTGGAAACCCTCCACATAAGTGTCGTGATAGAGATTTGACTGTAGCGAATAAGAGTGACCACCGTAGAGGCATTTGGCGTCCATAGACGGCTAAGCCGTGGAAGTATTCTACCGTATCTGGATAAACTTCTCTTAAATAAATACTGTGATTAGCGGTGCTGTGATAAACTATGGCCAAACAGCACGGAAACTACACGATCACCCGCATGAGCATCTACCACCATACAAATGCTCATATACAAGGATCCTGAACATCCGTAGTTAAATAGGAGACTTTCATGTCCTTGGGAACATCGCCGCGCAATTAGTGTACGGAAGCTTTTAGAAAGCTCCGTGTATATCCTCACACGTCCAGAAGTCTGAGAATACAAAGAACGCACTGCGTTCACAGGCTTCCGGGACATTTTTTGACGAGCGAAAATTCCAGGGAGAGCAGACCGGTCAAATACCCCTTGGTAATTCAGGAATACTAAACTTGTGGGTCGTTTGTACGTATGACGTTGTTCTAGCATCTGGCGGAGAGTGATTATTTGGTCAGAGCAGTCCCAACCAGGCCGGAACCCCGCTTGCTGCTTTCGAACCAGTGTTTAAGTAGCCACCATAAGATGTCGAAGCACGAGTGACATCATCAGCAACATCGTTATAACCGATGTCTGGCTGATCCCCCTGTGGTTACTACACTCACTGCGAGTCCTCTTTTTTGAAAGTGGGCACTATCAACGACCCCCAGTTTTCTGGGACTGTCAAATCAAAATCACGCGAGAACTATGAGCGATTAGGTTGAGCTAAGAGCAAGTGGGTCCCCCGATTCTAACTTTTGCTTCGTAAGCTCTATCGACACAACCAAGCAGATAAGCAAACACAATAACTTATTTCGACAGTCGAGATGCAGTCGGCAGTTTACATGTCTAAACCTTAAGTAGAAGCTTGCACTTCGAAGGTGGAAAAAGCGCCACGACACGGATACCTGGATGACCAACACTATGTACTTTGTGTTCTGATATGGCGCAAACCAAGCCGTACAACGACATCCGCATTTTATAAATCAATGAGATTTTCAGTTCTGGCTTAGAAAGTCTGACAGTACCTCCATTCCTCGGGGTTCCTTCACGTGGAATGGCAGCTGAGTACCGAAAAGGTGAAACAGCTGGATGACCTTATAGGGAGTAACTTGGCACCAGAGGCACTTGGCATTTTAGGAAACTACTGCATAACCACCTTGATCGCGAAGTAAGATAATGTTGAAGAACTCAACACGGCAGAAGACCGGTCTTTGGAAACTCGCGGAAAATTCCCTCTGTGAACCGTTCTTGGCTAGGCGGACACAAATGACTGAAACAAACAATGAACAGTCAAAACTACGACGGTTGGTCACTGGCAAACGTGTTCACGAATGGTCGCTTCGAAATGTCGGTCTCCCAGACATGATGTACTGAACTAAGTCGAGCTAAGTTGAACGGGAAGAGTGACAGGTGGCAAGTGCGCAGGCAGTGAATAGGACATTTATAGAAGCAAACTGTCGCGCCATAGTTTAACTAGCTCCATTAGCTTTCACAATGTTGCCTATCATAGACCGGATAATCAATGAAAGGGGTGAATCTTCACCTGACTAAAAGAATCGGTTTCGACAAATAAAGTGAGCGTATGTAAAAGGACTGCAGGAACGCAGATAAAGGGCGTTCATCCTAGTGTTGATCACCCACAGTCATGGCGTCGCCTCTTTTACTTTTTGCTGCCGTGGTGAGTATTCTTCCGAACTAGCATAACACACCTTTCCATAAAGCTCCTAGTCAGCTTTACTATTTGAATACTATAAGCCCAAAATTTTTCGTTATCTACATTCTCTCTATCCTATTGCCTTTGACACTTTAATGCGGCGCCAGTTTTGGCTTGGTTGGATATTTGTGTTTCGGTCACAAATAGCTCCCGCCACGGACGCCGTTCAGTGAGATTTTACGTTTGTGTATAACACAAAGTACGGTCGAAACCTACCTTGGTGAGAAATAGACAGCGTTGACACGGCGAACGCAAGGATCATCCAGAGCAAGGAAAGGCAGTGTAGTTAGGCAGGTCAAAAGAATCGCTAAAGAAACTGTTTCCAGGTGTTGTCTATAAGTATTCGATAGGAATTAGTTGAGCTCACTCTAGAAAAGGTGCTCCAAAAAGCATAAATAGAAACGTATATACACCAACAGATAGCGCCAGATAGCAAAGCTGTGACGAAATTCCAGCTTTGTTCTTCTTGTTCGAATGAAAGATAAGTTAGCAATTGAATTTACCTTCATCCTAAGGGTCAGGAATTTCCACCAGGAGGAATGGTCGAAAAGGACCTCCGATATTCTTAGACGACCAGCTACAAACAGATATGTATAAAGTTATCTCCGGTTACAGTTGAACGAGACATAACTGAGAATGGTACGAGGATGGTGTGATACCTGCGGATACCAAAAGGTTCCCTCGAAGACGCGCTTTTTTCTTGGGAAAGATGCAACAAAAATGAACTTTAGTCCTTGGGTTTTGCATCGCCTATGAAATATACAGCTACGTGTAAAAGTTCCAATTATTTCCTAGCATAGTAAGTGTTATTTAGTCCCTCTAATTTGTGTGATTTACCGCTGTTGGTTGTGAAGCAAGCTCCGGTGACTTTCTTTACAGCAACTTATGAGGTTTTGTTGGAGTATTCGGCACGTATTTAAGAAACAATCAGATAACACAGTTAGGTTCAGAACACAAGCAGGTGCGTGAACAGACAATCTTGTTGGTAAAGTGTGTGTAGTTTGTCATTCACTTTCGATGTTTCGCTTTTTCTTCTTACCATCAACGTCGATGCTATTTCTGACGATGACGCTTCCTGACAATGCCACACATCTAACGGGCAATATTGCGACAGGCTCAACTATCTTCACTTCTTCATTCAATTATAACAATATCGTCCCTGGCGTCAACAACTATCACCAGTAGGTAAGAGAATGGCCACACACTTAGCTTATTAACGGGCTTTGCTTTCACGGGAGTGATTTTTTATTCAACTGATTCGAACCCTCGGCGTGTCATTGGTATGGAAAAAATAGTGGCCGGCCGATTTATCAACCCTGATCCCACTCACTTTGCGCAGGTTTCAACGTGAAGCCAACCGCATGCATCTATCGTTCCCTTGGGAGATCTAGGAGGGTTGTAAAGCTACCTGTATGTCATTCAGCTGTAGCACCCTTTCGGTGCCTAGCTGCCATGCCACACGAAGGAGGCACGAGGGCTGGGATACTGTCAGGTCGCCCAAGCCTAGACAGGGGAAGTCGAGTGGCAGAGGTCGGGTTCGAACCACGGACCTTTCGGTCAGTAAATTCGCGCTCTAACCACTTGGGCCATCTCGCCCCCAAGCTATCTGTATGTGTATGCAGCTTTCTCATAGCGGAGTTAGAAAGCAATAGAAAAAGCCAGACATTCAAATCCTTCTTCACATGCAAAGTAGATACTGTCTGATGCCATTACGGCAGCGAAGCATCGGTGTTAAACACTGATGTCATGCTTTCGATGAAGACGATGATGATGGTGATGATGATGATGCCATTCACCATGAAGATGTTTTCGAACCCTTTATCGAACGACATGCAGACACTCTTCATCGTTGGTAGGTAAGAGTCAAGTCGATATCGAGTTAGAACTCGCTGGCATCAGATTTTCAAAACCGGAAATCTCTAGCGAAGAGAAGGGTTGAGCCAGTCAGTACGTCTGACAAATCATTGGCGTATACTAGAAAGTAACAGCCCCAAAACAGAACCTTAGACAAATCCCAACGTTACCAGTGAGCACTAGACTGTACACACTTTGGCCCGGAAAGTTTGGAGGGAAAAAATTTCGTGATCCATCGTGGCAGTGTCTCCCTTTTTACTTTCTGCTTCTACCTTATCTAACCCTACCCCAAAGTAAATAATCTTTCCCAGCAGGTCCAAACTCTAGAACCAACTTTGTTTGTCATACATCAAACTCAAGTACCGATTCTTCGCGTTCAGCTTCACTCACAATACTAAACACCCCTAACAGAGTTTCAAACTTCTAAAGTCGGTCAGATTACCTGCCCTTAATGTTCACACACAGGAGCAAGCAGGACAAGCGGCTCTTGCTAGTAAGCTGGATCCCCGCCGCATTGATGCCTGCATCTCGAATTAAGTCCAAGAAGACCACTCGAATAAGCCTCGGCAGCGCTGACATCGCCTTACGGTGCATCCACATCCCAAGCAAACACAACAATATATGAGCTCTCAGTCGGCCGCAGTAAGGCGCTCGAAGCATCACAGAAACTAAGTATCACTGTTGATGAATACGCAGATTGAATGAACAGGCAGCGGTTATCGGCGCGTTTAAGAAACAACCTCATATGTTGCTAAATGAACTGCGGATAGGGGACTATCAGCGGGCGTGCAAAGAACCTTAGGCTCAACGGCTTAAAACAAAACCAACATAAGTCACTTATGGATCATCGGAGGTCATAACCACCAGCGAAATTTATGTGGAATTTAGTTCCATGACCAAACTCGGGTTTTGAGCCGTTCTTTTCGATAAGCACCATAGATCAATAGAAAGTAAATCCAGGATGTACACAAGAGGTCCGTTTTCCGGCTTCGTTCGAGGTGAACTCCGACAGACCCGGTTAGCCTTAGCGTATGAAGCCCGCTGTTCAGTGGAATCTAATCAGGCAGTGTCCTAGGTTGTCACACTCGGTGCAGTACCCACACCACTAATAACACGGGGAACCGCTTCTGAATCTCAGAGGCTTGCCCGTGGATGAACCCAGCTGTACGGCAGTGAAGCATCAGTGCCAACACTGATGTTGCTGTCATTGATGATGAACCGTGATTAGATGCACTAACACTGAAGGTCCTTGTAAGCGTGTACAGAAGACGCAACACGTACCGAATTTTACATAGGAAGGGATGCGATTAAAGGTAAGTTGATACAAGTGACAAAGATTTCTGACACCGAACAGCTGCTACATTCAACAGATCACTTGGTATCAGGATTCAACTTTATGGACAGACATCTGGGAATCCACGATGAGTGTAACGAGCAACAAACGGATGGGGCTGTATCAGCATACATAGTGTAGTATACGGTGTCTGCCAGTTTGATTATTTAAATTTAAGTAATGGTTACGTACAACCTTGCTTACTGGGCTTCAGCTCATAAGCCTTGTTTCTTTCTTCCATCCACAGAAATTGTCGTGAACAACTGCCCTCGGAGAATCACTGTATCCTGGTGCTTCCATAGCGTGCATACGTGTTCGGCGACCACGCCAGGATGGTTACCACACACTGGTGGACCTACCACAAAGACCCTGGTTCTACAAACATGCATACAGGCTGCACAGCTAACACGTTGCTCAACCACATACGACATACGCAGACCCGGACACAGAAACCTCTGCACACGCTCAACAGCCGCCCACATCACACCACTACCACCGGCCAGTTCACGTAGGTCATGGTACACCGGGGACGGTGTTCTCCAAAAAGGGGGCCAGTGTAGTATACGGTGTCCGCCAGTTTAATTGATTTAAGTGTAAGTATTGTTGATGTACAACCCTCCTTACTGCGCTTCGGCTCATGAGCTTTGTTTCTGTTCTCCATCCACAGAAATTGTCGTCAACACCTGCCTTCGGTGCACCGTCCCCTGGTGCTTCCGTAGCGTGCCTACTATGGTCGCAATAAGGGTTAAATATCGTAAATTGTGGAGACCAGGCGTTAATTCTAAGTTGTGTAGCGATAGGTTGCTTCTCGATTGCCCGGCCTTGAAGGCTTATTCGTAGGGCTCCAAACAACGAAATACAAGGTCACTGAAAGTCTCGCCAACTGTTGCGCACCAAAGATGGGCATGCCTGAGTGGTCAGAACCTCAGCCAATCAGTAGCGAGATTCTTGAGATGGTGCCCTTCGTCTCAGCATGCAGCTTCCAGGTTGACCTTGCAAGCAATTCGAAGGTAACGACGTTCCTTGGTCTACATTATGGGTCTGAAGTTCCAATACCTGCCAGTACACGCTTTTATACGAGGCAACCTGTCAAAACATACAATGCATGCCGCGCCGTTGATGCACAATGCATTTTTCTGCAACAAACCTGTGGGGGAAATAAGAACTTTAACGTCAAGATGTTGAACTTCTTTGCATATGAGCTCAGTCCGGAAATCACCCTCCTCTGCCGTCACTTTTTGCAATTTGTTTTAATCGATCTGTATAGAAGAATATTGGCGCACACTCGGCTTTGATATTTGTGTGCTATGGCTCCGGAAGCGGCTTCACAATCGTTCACGGATCCACGGACCCTATCAAATGCTTTTGAGAAGTCGAAAAATATGGCATCCGATATGAGTCCTTCGTCCTTCGCTTGGGTTAAGCTGTCCATAAACACGACCATGTTTGTTACGCAAGAACGATTTGGGAGAAATCCGTGTTGAGCTGGAGATATCAGATTGCTGGAAGTAAGGTGATCTAGGATGGCTCGCTTCAGAATGCGTTCCATCACCTTGCACGGCACGCTAGTGAGGCTTATAGGCCTATAGCTGCCAGGCGATAGTCGGTCACCAGTTTTGTATATTGGCGTGACAATCGCTTCCTTCCAAGCAGGGGGAAGGCGGCCTTCGTCAAGCGACTGACGAAACACCAAGTGTAAATGGTTTGCCAGTGTGGAGGACGTTTCTTTCAGGATCCTCGGATGGACCTCGTCGGGTCCCAATGCGCAGAATGGGTTGATCTTGTCCAAGAGTTGACGAATGTCCTCCACCGTGAAGACCAAGTCGGTTAGAGGCTGTTCGTAGTTTCTCCTTGACAAGAGTGGATGTGACGAGGACGCTGGGGCTGAGTATAGACACGCATAGTGTTCTCTGTAAGCCTCAGATACCACTGTTGGGTCATTCGTCGGTTCTCCGTTTCTGTCCCTCAAGGAGAACGCAGATGGCTTGTTTCTGCGGCGATGTCTCATGTACTTGAACAGTACGTTTTTGTTTTTTCGAGCGAGGTCCAGAATGGTGGCTTGTTTTCGTATGTTCCATTGGCGGATTTCCGACTTACAGCGATTCCGCATTTTACGAAATGCCAGCTCATCTTCTGTGTCCCCTGTGGTCAACTTTTTGAAAAAGAGTTGGGATCTTTTTTCCAGAAGTCGCCGAATCCTTTTTGGCAGCTTGCGGTTCATCCGACTGCGTGCCGGTCTTCTTGGGACGAATGTCGCGTCAGCCTCGTGGACTTTCTGGACAATGGTCCTATATAGTTCTTCCACCGGAGCTGGTCTCAGTGTGACTTGTTCAAGGAAGATGCGCATTCCTGAGAAGTCTGCACGGCAGAAGTCTCTAAACCACGTTTGAGGTTTGGGATTTCTGGCCCAATAGCAGATGAAATCAAAGGTTAGCACACAGTGGTCGCTATGTCCCAGTGGAGCGTTAATGGTTACCTGATCAACGAAGTGTCTTTCGTTGGTGATGACCAAATCCAAGAGGGATGGTTGTTGGCCTGCGCGGTATCTGGTGGGTGCAGCGACATGTTGGGTCCAAGCGCTCTGTTGAACGACTTCTAACAGGCTGCCTGCAAAAGGTCCGCCTGATTCGACGCGCTGTCTGATTCGACGCGCTGCCTGATTCGACGCTTCCATCCTTCACGGCATTTGAGAAGGCCGTAAGTCACTACGTGAAGGATAACTTTGTGGTATTCGTGCGTTCATCCAGCAATCGAAGCACCAACGCAACTTTGCTTTACGAATGGGAGTACTACAAATGCAGCGGGCGCCCTACCAGACCAACGGAAGGCCGGGGAATCCGAGGTAGCCGGTAAGCCGAGCGTAGTTACTAATAAAATAAAGTGCGCACAGCACCAGCTGTCCAGTGCGGTTTTGTCTACGTAGGCAAATGAACCAACTGGCAGTCGCCTCTTATTTCTTGGACACAACCAAAAGTTGTCGAAGATTCTGTACGACCGGCTTTCAGTTAATCGACGGCCAACAGAAGACTAGTTAGCACCTGCAAGGCCCTCCTGAAATATGGAACGTGGTCGTCTGATGTGCGTCCGTTTGTGGTGAATGAATTCGGAAAGATACTTACCGCTAAGGATATACACAACTACCGCCGGAAGTGTCGACCGGCTATGTTGAGTAGGTGCCGC